GAGAGAGAGAGAGAGAGAGAGAGAGAGAGAGAGAGAGAGAGAGAGAGGTTGCGCTTTGTCTTTCCTTGTTCGTTAATTAGGGAATCCGAATCCAGAATCTCTAAGGCGGAAGTTAGGTACATATAAATTCGGAAGTAGCGTTATCTCGTAACAAAGTCACGTGCTTGGCGTTCAAATGCAGTCATGTGGTTAGCAATGGTTAGGAAATGTTTCCGTTTATTTGCTACATTCTATATTTATTTAATATACTTATTTTTTGATTATTAGCAGTATAAGAAACTATATAATACAAAAATGACATAATAAATTCATAATTTTATAGAATTAAGATTTTGTCTTATCTTATCTTAAAATAATATCAATTTTAATTAATTTATACTTTTTACTAGATATTTCTACAAAACATGATATATATTTGATTACTTTAATAAATCTGTTTTAAAGGTAAATGTTGAAAATATTCACAAAACGTATAACTATTGTAGTTTGATGTAAGCTTATATTTTTTATTACATTTTTGAATTTGATTAGAAATTTTACTAATCTGATTAAAGGTCAATATGTTGCATTGTATCTTTTTTTCTTGTGGATACAATGTTGTGATTCCTTCATCTTTTCTTCTTGATCCATACATTTATTTCTTATTAATAAACCTTATATTCCGAAATAGCATTGATCTTGAAGAAATAAATAATTGTCTATTTCAACAATGAGAATACGTAAGTTTATTAAATTAGGGAGTATATCGAATATACATCTAATTGTATTATATAATTTGTGCGGCATGTTATAAGAATTAATTAAAGAAAAATTTGAACTATAATATAATAAAAAATGACAGTATAGAATAATAATATTAATATTGATAATATTAAGAACGAAATAGTCAAATATTGAAGTGTACGCTTCGCAATTATTTCATACGGTCGGTGACAGCTTCACGAATAATTTAGTACACAGAGTAGATACATGGTGAGGCATTAATGACGCGACATCCAGCTGGAGAGTAATAGTCTGCCCGAATTAATTCTCTCGGCTGTGCTTTTAGTAAAGTGGATTTTATTGCCGTCTTGCATTTGAGAACAAAGTCGCTAAATTGCAGTTGAGTAACGGCACTGTAGTTCAACATTGACCGTTTAACTAATCCTTCTCACATTTTCGTCTCACATGGCAACGTCCTACCGACAAACACTCGCGTATATTCAAATAATATTTCTGAGTATATGTCAGTATAATTTTGCATCACGTATAACCATCGTCGATATTGCGGTTCCCGCAATCAAATTCACGTTCTGTTACATACACACGTTTACGAGTTAATTAAACAGAAATTTTTTATACGTTGAAACGTTCTGCGAAATGACTCTAGGACAAGTTCGATAGTCCGTCATCACGAATTATCAATATTGAAGTTTGTGTTCAATTTTCCGAGGTAGAAATTTCTAGCGTTTTCGATAACGAGTTTACCATTTTGACCAAACCAAATGGCAAGTTGTGAAATTCAACGTAGCCGCGACGCGTGTTATCATTTGTGCCATTTGCACAAATTTTCCCATTTAAAATGGATTTTGTCATCCATATGTGGAATTTATGGAATAAAATTCGTAGATGGTTTTACAGTTTACGAACTTTTTGATCACAATGTTATTTCATTGATTATCTTGTTGTGAGCATCGCCTATGCTGTATTACGCGGCGCCTTGTATTTTTTTAAACTTTTGAATTAATTCCTTTATTGTTCTTTTTTATTACCGTGAGTACAATCGATGACACATTTCATAATAAACTGTCGAGTTGTAAATGAAGCTGTGGGAAAAATATTCTTTTTGTCTGCGATCACCAACCAGATACAAATATTAATCAAGATATTTACTATCTGGAAAAACCTGGAAAATCTGGAATTTTTGGAGGATTTTTTTCTCTTGAAAATTAAAATTTTATAGAATTTTATCAATCAGGGAAATTTTAGAAATTTTGCTTATTCTGTTTTTTTTTTAAACATTCTTTTTTCTTTAATCGTTTTTTTCTTGATAATGCAAAATGTTGATAATGAGCAACAACTATGGCGTACACATTCGCGTATATTTACTTTCTTAGGTGTTCCGCGAATTTTTATTAAAAAAAATTGGTACAAGACATACTCAATAGAAGAAAGTATAGTGCACTGACCTTGTTATAGAGAATCTTTTCGTAAGTATTCCATAGGTTTTGTTTAATTGTAGAAAATAATAAATATAGAAAGTCTCGTTCTTGACTTCGATTAATTTACAATATATCGTTTGTTTGTCTCACTTACACTCTAATTTATTTTAAAGTTACATTTAAAAAATTCTAATTTTATCTGGAATTTTGAACAAAAATATCTTTAAAATCCGTGAGTTCTTAGAAAATTTTACAAGATTTCAGTGATCACTTGTTAATGGATGTTGTCAGTAACAGATTTTTCGAAATAAAATTTTCCGCGTGATTTTTGGAGAAGTAGGACGATTTCAACCAACAATTTAATGTCGTTTGCGTAGAGCTGATAGGTGTCTATTGAACATGGAGGTTATATCGGCAGACCGCGCCGATACTTTATGTGGGCGTTATTGAAATATCGCCGCGAGAAGAAATATC